GGCTTGAAGACATCCACAGATATCAAAATACACACACTGGGAAGGACGCCAAGACTCAGATAAGAACTGACAAATTAGAAATATTTTCACGCTTTGCTTCCAGCACTGGGCCATTGCAGTTTGTCCTTTTAAACAGTCCTCAATGAAATTGAGTTTGACACCCCCGATTCAGGATATCCAAAATAATTCAGAGTGGTCTGCTGTTGGATAGATCCAGGCCTGAGAACTGGAACCTTAAATGATTATTAGTAGGCTCTTTCTGTGTTTATTAGAGTTTAAAGAAGCTGCATTGACTTTTGCTGATGGTAGCAACAGCTTTTGCTGAAAGCTAATAAAACATAATCTTCCTGGGCTGGATAAAAATACAAACATTGATTAAAGTGGAAGTAGGGTCAACTGTCTGAGTTAGACAGGGCCACTAATTCTTTCACATCTAATGAAATTAACTCCTTGAAATGGTTAAGCAGGCAATCTTTATTATAACATAGGAGAGGAGAAAAGTGGAGTCGTTGTTTATACCAAGACTTTTTTTAATGGAGTCTCCAGAAAGTTGTAGAGAATATTAAGATGTATTTGCTAGATTAACCCACAGCTCTGGCGTTTCATTGTTGAGACACAGACTCATAGATCAGGCCATTCCATTTGGGAGTCGCACCTGAGGCTTATATATGTGTCCCTTCACATTATTTTCTCCAAGTGCTTGAGTTATTTGTAAATGTCTGCAGAGATTCTTAGTCATCCAGGTCATTGTTGTCCCAAAGTTGCTTTTTCAGGAGATGCTTTTTCTTATTTTTCCTCTTTGAAGATGTTTTACTTCTCATTCCAAGAAGCTTTTTCAGTTCTGACAGGATAGTGGGGAATGGAAGGATTTATATTCCTTGCAGACAAGCTGGTCATTTGCATCCTTTTAAGAGAGTTGTTGAGGCCATTCGGAGGTTTATTTGTGTCCTCAGGATTACCTGAGTAGTGCTCCTGGTTCCTGTAGTCCTGTAGTGAGTAATTTATCTATTCAAATTATCTTTTGGGGTCTGGAGATCCTAAGCAAAATTGTACTCTTGACCTCTCCTCAGTTATTTTCAACATAATCAGTTTTTAGAAGGGCGTTTCTCGACCGTGGTGCCTTGAAGCTGTGTGGTGGACTTCAACACCCAGAATTCTGCAGCCGACAGAATTCTGGGAGTTGAAGTCCAAATAGTTGCTAAGATTGAGGTATATGGCTTGGAACATGCTTCATTTCCTTCTCAAAGTTGAAAAACAGAGCATTATTCTTCATATGGGCTGGTTTCCTGAATTAGCAGCAGGAATAGAGGTAGTCTTCAATTTACGAGCACAATTGGGACCAACATTTATGTTGCTACGTGAGAAATTTGCCCCATTTTACGTCTTTTCTTGACCCGATCATAAGTGTGGAAAAAAAGGCCCTTAGTCACATTTTTCAGTGCCATTGTAACTTCCAATGAACCGTTGTAAGTCAAGGGCTATCTGTAGGCTGCTGGTTTGGTATAGTGAAACTTTAATAACAATGTGAACTTATGAATGGAGCTGTCTGGATGGTGCTTCCTCACCAGAGGTGGGATTCAGCCGGTTTGGACTGGTTCGAGTGAACTGGATGTTAATTTTATGTCTGGTTCGGCGAACCAATAGTCCCGATGACCAGCTGTCCCCTCCCCACCCTGCCCCTCCACTCCCAGGAGTCTCCACACAGCCTGTTCTGGATGCCAAGTACAGGGCCTGCACGGAGGCTCAGGGTGGGTGAAAAATAGGCCTCCAGGAAGTTCTGAAAGACTGGGAACAGGCCCTTTTCCAGCCTCCACAGAGCCTCTGGAGCCCGGAGGG